GTTTGTCTCGCCGGGGCGGAAGGAGCGGGAGGGGGGGAAGGTGCGCGAGACGGCGCCGGCGGAGAAGAGCGAGAGGGAGCGGTTGCGGATGATACGCCGGCGGACAGCGATGGACCGGATTGGTGAGTGGATATATTTTTCGCTTTTCTTGTCTTGTGGGCGTCCGGTCTGTTTTTAAGCGTAACGACTGACTTGTACTTGTAGAGCCGTTCATGGGCGATCCGATCTCCCCCATCCTCGAGGTGCCGGTGGACACTGCTATTAGCGGGGACGGAATATACGGCGTGGTGCGCAGTCGGACGCTGCCTTCGAGGCGGAAGAATGGGGACGCCGCGCTCGACGACAAGGAGAACGCGCTCGGCGCGAGCGCAGAGCACGCATCCTTCCGCCCGGCGATAGACGGGAGCCCCCGCGCGAAGGACAGAACGAAGGACAGGGAGCGGGGCGAGAAGCGCGTGCTCAAGAAGCAGCGGCGGGTGTCATCCGCCAACCGGGTGTGAATTTGCCGACCTGGGCGCGGGTTTCTATATTTTCGTCCTCTCTTCTCTTTTTCGGACTCGGTGGTGGTGGGGATGGTTTTTTTAATGGTTGCGGACACTTGGTTTAATATTTTCGGCTTTTCTTTCGTGCTTGGGCGGTGCTACACGGTACTGCATATGTTATTCACCGTCACTCGCGCCGTATTATAGGCGCTGGCTTGCTCTTCAAAGCGTGATTGCCCCACGCACTGCGCTGACAGGGCTTCGACGGGACTTTCGCGACGGCAAGTAATTCGTCGCAATACACGACTTAAGCGGAGAATAGCGTCGGCCCGTTGCTACGACGAGGCGTAACGAATGAGGAAGTGGAAGTGTAGCAATCTAATATGGTATTCCTTACTCTCTTGCCGGACACTATTATTGACGATTTTCTGTATCCCTGGACCCAGACCCGGTAGACCACATATCCTACTACTCATCCGCGACGAGATGTTTACATACGATGCACGCACGATTACACTCCTATTGGCATGATCACGATGTATGCATAGTTCATCTACACTACTTCACGTTCAGATGGCCTCTGTTCTCTCCTTTTGATAACTTGAGCTGAGCATACTTACGTGCGGTTGGTGCGCCGGTCGTCGTTTCCGTGGTGGCGGCCGCCAAGGGCGGACGAAGATATGTGGTAATAAATGACCCTTGGGTTTCGAAAAATTGCGGCAGTGGATTCAATTTTGGCTTGCTGGCCACTCCGAGTCCTACACGTCCTTGACGCCTCTTGACGCCCGTGCTTATTTTTGAACTGTATAAAAATAAAGCTGAACTCTTCGGTTGATAGCCGTGGAGTGGGCGGAGACAGCGCATGCAAGTGAGCATGATTTGTTGGAAGTTTTAGCGCTATCGTCCATTCATGCCAAGGACTCCTATGGCACCTGGCTTATGGAAGCAGAGCTCTGGCAGAGCTTGACTATGTATGCCGCCAGTTGTCAATGGTCATGTCTAATTGTCTGGAAAAAAAGAGGAGCTATTCAATTATATCCCGAACCGTCGGAGCTGTCTGTGAGATGAATGGACGTCTGGAAGCCTCTGGATATGTATTTGTGCGTCGGCTGGAGATTGCCAGGCGAGGAGAGAGACCTATAAATAGACTCATCTATCTGCGCAGCTTGGCCTGCCGTGAGATGATGCTGACGATAAATTTAGAAGCCCGTGGAGGTAGGCTGTCCACAAAAACCAAACATTCAACATCTGCGCTGTGTGCACGCCACTACACACCTCCGCCTTGTACTTCTATCGACGCAGCCCCAGCGCTCGTCAACCTCAAGTCAGCCACCCAGGGATTTCAACATGGACCGATCTTACCGTGACAACCCCTTCGACCCCCGGCCGAGCGATTCAGACATCTCCAGGAACTACGACGACCACCAACCAGTCAGTACCATTTCTCTGCTGTCTTGGAATGCCTTGTGCCGCTCAGGCGAGCCTGGAAACAGCACGACTGTTTCTTGCGCTTTCCTCATGCGCACCTCCGCTTTCTTCCTGTGCTGACATCGTTTATGCGGTCTGCGTAGGCCGCTTATACCACGGGGCGCAATAATAACATACCCCTCGGAGCCGTTTATAGTTCCAGCCCTGTTACGCCATACCAGCCGGTCGCAGAACACGTACGTCCGTACACTGCAGAGTCCACAGACGACCTCGCCACCCCCGTCGCAGGCAACTTCGGCAGCAGAGCCTCGCCTTTCGCAGCAGGAGCAGGAGCAGGAGCAGGCTACCGGATGGCCTCGGACAATATGGGTGGTGGATTCAGCGGGAGCCATGAGCCAAAGCTGGGTGCTTACTCGAGCGGTTCGAGGTGGAGGGAGCCACTACCTGCAAAGTCCAACCGCAGAAAGTGGATCGTAAGTATCGCGTTGCCTCTACAAATCATCCGTGCATCATTGCTGACTGACATCCACGTGTCCAGGTCATGGGTCTCATCGCTGCCGTTGTGGGCATTATCATCGTCGCAGTAGTCGTTGGCGTAGTGGTTTCGAACAACAACAAGAAAAACAGTAATTTGTCTACGACCAGCAGTTCCGACAGCAGTACTGGCGCCTCAGCAAATGCGACGACGCAGCAGACCAACCCTAATGATCCTAGTTCATTCACTAAAGACCCCACTTTGCACCAATCGTTCTATGGTATGGCGTATACCCCGGTAGGATCGCAACTCCCGGATTGTGGAAATAGCCTTGGTGTGTACCAGTGGCAATGTTTGATGGGGTAGTTTACTGATGGATCTGCAGCGGCGGTCATTCAAGATATCCAGGTTAGTGGTACACGCATTGTATGTTCCATGAAGGTGCTGACGTTTGGGGCTGTGTGTGGTTTAGATCATGTCACAGCTGACTCCGGTATTATGATCGTTCGTTTGTTCGGAATTGAGTACTGACATGCTCTGCAGCGTGTTCGTCTATATGGCGCAGATTGCAACCAGTCTGCATTGGTGGTGCGTTTCAATGCATAGCACTTGTCTACCTGTCGCTCACAATATGACAGTTGGAAGCCATTAAACAAACCAAAGTCAACATGACGGTCTACCTAGGCAATTATCCTGTGCCGACTGACAATGGTACTGCCTATACGCGCCAGCGCGATGAAATCAAGGCGGCCATCCAGACCTACGGAACTGACCACATCGGGGGCATCACTGTCGGAAACGAATTCATGCTCAAGTAAGCTCTTCGTCGTATACGTCGCTAATTCGCATCCTCACCGCATTGGTAGCTATGTCACGCAGAATGCCATCACCGACGTGAACAGCGCCGCTGCCAACGTGGGCGCTGCAATCCTCCTTGCCAATATCCAGGATACTCAGTCGATGCTAACGACGATGGGCGTCACTATACCTGTCGGAAACGCCGACGCAGGAAGTTACTTCAACGATGAAGTGCTGGCTGCTGTCAACTACGGAGTGCGTCTTGGTATATCCTTTCACCACTCAATCAGCGCTGACTGTCGCAGATGGCGAATGTGCATCCCTGGTTCGCGAATGTCTCCGCGACGGACTCTGCATCCTGGACGGCGACTTTCTTCCAGCAACAGGATGTAGTGCTGGCTGAAAGTCTGTCAAACAATGCCACTATGTACATCGCTGAGACTGGATGGCCCACAGTGAGTGTAGACAATGATTGTTGATTTTCAGACCGCTAAAAGTAGTCGGTTTCAATAGAAATCCTCTGATGTTGGAAATGAATCGAATGGGCCATCGATCGCCTCGGTTGCCAACTTGCAGGTAAAACATTTGATGCGGTTAAGTCATTCTGGTCTGACGATTCTGTAGATCTTCTTGGACAACTTTGTTTGTCAGGCGAATACTAATGGGACCGGCTACTTCTTCTTCGAGGTATGGTAGTTCCCTTATAGCCTGGGACGTCGTGCTGACTCTGCTGCTTCTGCCAGTTTGCGGACGAAAGTTGGAAGGTGTGTCTCGTTATTTTGCGTGTTCTCAGCGGCCACTAATTGACTATTATAGGACGCCGAATTCGGCGGTGTCGAAGGATGGTGGGGCTTGTTCAATCAAGAGTACATTTTCGTCTGCCCTCTCTTGGAGTGATGCTCACTTTTTTTGAACCTCGCAGCCGCACCCTCAAAAGTGGGATCACCATTCCCACCTGCCAGGCCCCCTAATCGCACCCCCCACGGACATCTTACATCAATAAGGACACTAATTTTCCTGGTGATTCATGCGGACATATTTTTGCATATTCAATATTTATACCTTTTGGTAACTTCTTTACCCTACCTTCACTGCGATGGAACCGACATGCCCGTCCTGTCCTTGAACGATTCCTATTGTATCTTGTACCACTCAATCTTTACTGCCCAAAATGAACACTCCTTATTTCTGCTCTTACGATCCGGACGGGTTGGGCAGGAGCTGTGCTGAAACTCGGTAGCAAGTGCCCGGGGACTCCAGGCTCCAGCTCGAGTAACTGCTCTAGAGACTTGCTAAGATCTCGTTGCTCACTGCTCAAGCGCTCACTGCTCACCAGTCCAAAATCCCGACTTCAAGTTCACACTTCAAAGTGTATTACATACTGCCGGCAGCCGATTTGTAGTTTGTAGCTCAACTTCCTGTTCGTTCAACTTCGTACCTTAGACTTCGAAGTTCCTGAATCCTTCTACGTAGTACGGACTGCGCAGGAAATTGGAATAAAATAATACAACAAGTCAGCTCTGTAAAAGATATCTCGATATGCTATGATGCATTGACCGGGAGTCGAACCCGGAGCTAGGCCATGGGAAGACCCAATGTTACCGCTACACCATCAATGCCTTGAATTCCGAAAAGTACGTGTCCTACCATAGATGGTGAAGGGGCGGTTGCTGTGAAGTAATGCGTACACCGGCGTGCAGGCTAGCCTATACCGTAAATATTAAATGCCAAAAAGTGTACTACACTCAAAGTATCCAGAAACCTGACTATACGAGCGTCAATATCGAGTACAAGTGATACTATATTGATAGTAAAAAGGGCCCAACCGGGAATTGAACCCGGGACCACGCACAAGCTTACGTAAGCGGGATCACTCCCGAAGCGCGTATCATACTACTAGACCATTAGGCCTATGCTAAGGCCGAGCCTCGGAGAGTAATATATATTTTGTGCCAATTTTAGACTTTATATGGTAGCAACCGTAATGCATAATGCGGTTCTCCCTTCAATAGGCTGGGTATCCAAAAGAGGAAACGAGGGAGTTCAATCCCCACGGCACGTAATCTTTTTTGTTTAATGTCATACAGTACAATTTTCTGCGATGAGCCCGAAGGGCTCATCTTAGGATAAGATAAGATACGGGCGGCAGTGCAAACATCACATAAGCTCATCGATGCGATGATCCATTGATCTGCCGAAGAGCTCTTCACTCTTCACCTTCTCGAGTTTGCACTGCCATAAAAAGTCTTGAGCTTTTGTTCACACAAAGCTCTCTAAATTTTTTTTCAATAACTTATTCCATCTTCTCTTTCAAGAAAGTTTCATAGAGATCCCAAACTTTCTAGTCTAGAAAATTCTCCCATCTTCGTTTGACTTATCATGGTTGAAGGGCCTGCTCCTCCTCCTCCGCATTCACCTTCACCTCAAGTGCAACCTCCAAGAGTCCCTCGGACCCACACCAACCCAGAGGTCATAGAAATTCTGCAGAGATTGCCTTTTTTCAACAAACTTCAAACTAACAAGTGCATCTCCGAGGAGAACCAGACTCGCCTCACAAAAAAGCTCAACCATGCACTCAATGGCATTAAGTATCCAGACGATGGTTCTGATGTGGCGTTGTTAATTACCGTGGATGAGAGCAACATGAATGATCTTTTAGATGACAGCATCCGCGAGCAGTACAAAGACGTGCTGCCTATTTCTGTTGTCAAATGGATCGCAGATACAAAGAAGGCAAACGGTGAGAGCCATTCTTTGAAAAGATCCTCAGATGGGGATACGTCCAAAAAATTGGTCTCCAAACGCAGATGTATGGATGGAAATAGCATTGTGGCCCGCTCTATTGAGGAGCTGGTCACTATCCATTTCCCCCAAATTCTTTTTGACACCGAATCTTCGGTCGCTGTCCCTCTCTCTTTTTCCACTCACAAAAACTTGCAATATATTTGTAAGAATTTAGGTACTATCGAGAGGGCAAGTTCTTGCAATGGTACTCATGCCATTTCAATTTTTTCAATGCACAGGTGGACAAAGTACGACACCTGGAAAAATGTCGAACTGGAGTTGCGTGAAGGATTCCGCAATGAAAGGAAAGCTTTCTGCCTTACGTACCATACGGCATCTTATGCACATGCAAAATCTGAGGCAAGGGTTTTGGCAAAGGCCCAGGCCGCCATCATGGCAGCGCGTATGACAGACGCCGTCGCCTCTGGTTCTTCGGGTTACAAATCCGGAGACCGTGGTCAATTTCATGGCAACGCTGGGAAATTTCCCCGTGCCACGTCCTCATCCTTTCCGCCTGGCAGCACAAAGAGCTCCCTTCCTCCGTGCTGCATCTTATGTGGACTACGAGGGCACACCATTTTTGCCCACTCCAACGAATCACTCTCTACAAAATTTGTCGACGGGAAGCTAGCATGGGCTAAGTTTGGCAACAGCGCCCTCCGCACGCCCGACAACTGCGAAGTCTGCATCATGTTCAATGTCAAAGGCGCCGATCGCACCTCCTGCTCCCACCAGAGGGACGACCACTCCCACATGTGCTCTTTCTGTGAAAAAACAGGCCACCATGCCTTTGCCTGGAACTGCAAATCGCGACCAACCGACGTTTGAGGATTTCCTCACCTCGGAGCCTCCTCTATTTCTCAAATACTCTGACTTCTCAACATCTATTCATCACAGACCGCCTTTCGATCCATCAGGCCAAAGAGCTCTTCGCTCTTCACCTTCTCGAGTTTGCACAGTGAATGCAATTCACCCAGCACTTTCGTTGCAACACGTGCCCCCGGAGATCGCCGCAACGGCCCGTTCACGCCCCGGCTGGCCTTTATCTTTGAAGATCAGGGCCCTTGCACACCGGAAGAGATGTTGAGATTCTGAAGTCACTACTGCACTAGTAAACACTTGAAATTCAATTCAATTGTAGTGTAACTCTTGGTCTGAATGGAAAATCTATGAATATATTTATTTATTTATACCTGGACGTGTGATTCAAGTTATTTCTGCGGAATCGCGCTGTGAGACTGTTGATCGAAGTTGGATCTAGGCTACGTAAGGCCTAATTCACTCAGCCAATGGTACCATATATCCCATCGCCAACTTGGCCCACCGCTTTTCCTGCTTAGACTTTCCCTCTGCCCACATCATCCCTCGCTTTCTCCCGTACTTCTCAATACTTGCAATATCCTCTACAAATGTTGATGCAGCACTCCCCAGTGCATTCTTCACCGATTTCAGCCAAAGGTAGTTACAGTAACCAACTTGCTGCTGAATAATTCCTGCTGCCTTCTCCATATCTAGGGCCAAAGTCGCCACATTTTTGGTGTATACCAGCATGCCCACATGTAGCCCCAGACTTTGCAAAGACCATGAACTTGGCAAAAATCATACATTCCTTTGATGGCATTGCACCGAATCTCTGAAGTGGTATACATCCCATGAAGCTCCGGAAATATGGGATGCTAACAGAAATGCTTTGTAAACAGGTGTAGAATCTGCTGGCGGTGGGGAGCTGGGCAGAATATATATTCTGGATCTTTCGAAACTGTCTCGTCCTTGGCGAACATCCAGTCAGGTCCATCTTCGGAGTCTTGAGAATTTCGCTCCAGTAAGCGGTCCACTTCCCCTAAAAGATCTTCATCCTCAGCCTCGAGATGTTTGTCATCAAGTTCATCAGCTGCATCTGATTCACGTTGAGCTGTACGTGGTGTGACTGTCCATGGAATGATAGCCTGAAAATGTCCATTTAGGCAGATTGTCAGGCGTGGAGCAGTAGGGGTGGGTTCTGGGGCCATATTCTGTAGAACCCCTTGAAATAAAACTTTGACGTGGGGTATGGCTTTCTCAGCGACATATTGGGTCTACGAAGATGATCAGTAGGTATATTGACAAATATAAAATTCATACTTACTGCGGATGGGTCCTCTGCTTGCTGAACAGGTACAAAGTCAGGATCAATCCAATTGAACTCCCCTACAGCCTCTTTGACATCGTAGAATTTAGGGCGGCAGCATAAAATTGAAAGGTGTGTTTTAATTGCATGCAAGCAATGCCTGAAACATAGCTGATGTTTTGCAGATGGAAACTCTGCAGCAAATGCGTTAATTTCTGAGATATCTTTGTCTGTAAGTGTTATCATTGGACGTATCTTCCAAACTTTATGGAAGTGCTTGAGAAGCTTCTTGATGAATTGCTCCTTAGCACCAGCGGCACCATCCTTTCCAGATTGGATCAATAGGTAGCCCAAGGGACACCCTGAACCTGAAATCTCGCCGAGAAGCGCATAGACTTCATAGTTTGATCCATTTGTATTCCCTTCGCAACATTGTTAGCTAATAGCAGTGTTGAGGGAAAATAAAGTCACAGAACATACAAGCAGAATCCAGGGATATTTCACAAATTCTTCCTCCCCATTTGCGGAGTACTTCAGGCAGTGAAAAAGCAATAGCTGTAAACCCAGGCTCTTCAGGGAGGGAAATCGGCTCAACCAAATATAGCTTTTTATCTTTGCAGCTTCTTTGATGAGAATCTTTGCGGACTTGAGCTTATCGGGATCTCGTTTCCACTTTTTGCTTGACTCTTTGTGCCACAAACTGTGTATTGACCATCAAGAAAATGCGGGTGTTGGGTGTGACTTGAGAATTTCATCCCAAAGCTGTACCAATTGGCAATCATTATTAGCATTTATAGCGGATCAGATCAAATAAAAATACAAGCCTGTGTGGGCGAAAGGTCTGGATTCTCTTTAACAAAAGATTGAATATCCAGTGGTACATCGATGCTCCAATATGGAATATGCTCGGTGTTGTGTTTCAGCTTGACCAATGCACTGTTGGACTCGTCCCAAATCATGATATGTAGCCATCCATTGCATTTGAAAGCTGCCATTTGTTCTTTATCTCGTTGTTTGATACCTTCACCCACTTTTTTTTTGGATTGCTGTTGTCGATCCTTATTTTGAGCACAATGGTAAATATAGCGCGTCAATGCAGTCCGTTTGCTGATATAGCGACTGTGATACCTGCATTTTATATTGAGATATCAGCACAATTAAAATTTATCACAAAGGACAGGACTGTACACAAAGCGATACTTCAATTCTGACCAAATTGCACTTGCTAATCCATCGGCGCTTTGCCTTGCATCTGGTTTCTTCGAGTCATCCGGCAACTTGACCATTGCTGTGAACTTGGCGATTTTTTCAGTGCTTGAGATCTCCCTGAGAAAATCTGCCATCTTGATGTTGCCGAGTTTCACGCGCAAGGCTTCTTTGGCTTCATCAGAGCTATCTTCGTTTTTGGAGTGACTGGAAATGTGCATGGCCTGAGTCTTCTGTGTTTTCTTCTCACGCCATTTTTGAATGCGCTTTTTGGAGCATTGTTTACACACTGCTGCATATCCATCACGCGTCTTGTTGAAATTTGCGGAGTCAACATTTTTGAAAAATTTACAAGCACCGCACTTTTTTTTCGAGCTATCCATGGCATCGCGCAATTAATGTAAGCTGAGTTGTTCTTATGCCCAAGGTCAAGACAAGTCGAGGATATGTTACGTCCAAAAAATGAGCTGACATAAGCACATCAATTAGATATGATTAAATATGAGCTATGCTATCTGCTACAAGGCCAGCGAGGGCGTGAACGGGCCGTTGCGGCGATCTCCGAGGGCATGTGTTGCGACAAAAGTGCTGGGTGAATTGCATTCACTAGTTTGCACTGCTGTAAAAAGTCTTGAGCTTTTGTTCACACAAAGCTCTCTAAAAAAAATTTCAACCCACCCACCCTCTTTCCTTCAGTGTCTGGTATAGCTGGTTTGATCTTCGGCATTCATATGTCGCAAACCGCTTTTTTCCAGACGCTCAGGTTTTCTCGGGCTCCCGGCTTTCAACTCGGAAATTTCCGATTGAAAGACCA